GAAATTAAGTCCTAACTGGTCATTTCCATCTTGTTTCTGTATTTCCAAGTAGGGCACAAAACTGTAAAACATGCATGTTTCCCCCCTCAAGCCTTTTGTGGTTCTCTTGCCCATAAACTCCCCTCCCTTCCACCCCACCATTATCCCAAGTTTAGTCAATGGGAATAAGAACTCTTTAGGAAGACATTTACTGGTTTACAGTACTCTAAAACCAACCCTGAAAATGGAGAATCTCATTCATTTACAACTTTCAGTGCTACTGTTGACAGAAAGGGAAAAAAGTTACCTTAAGGCTCAAGGGAAAGTAATTTATTAAATTGTGAATGCAGCATTATTTACTCTCCCATCCATTGGAAGCTAGCAAAATGCATTCTGGATCAATAAGAAAAACTTTCTAATATTAGCAAAGATTTCCACTCTTTTTACACGAAGTTAGAATACTCCTAAACAGATTATCTATGAGAGCCTGAGAAACCACGATCCACATCACACAAAAGATTCCTTGTATATCATGATCAAAAAGTGCTTTTTCTTTTGAGAAATATGTCAGAGTTAAAATGGAAATATACAATGTAAAATCACTTGATACTTTTCCAAGTGAAGTACAAAGTGAAAAAGAAGAAGAAGGTTCTGCTCTGTGAACAGGCCTTATGCATGTGACTTTCAGGTGTACTAAATTAAAATTGTTTTAAGAATCCAGAGGGATTTAAAATCCACTAGTCTAAAACCTGAGATTGGATATCAAAGCAGTCAAATTTTATCCATCAGAGCAGTTCTGATACTTCCTAAATACAGAAATTAACACAACTGAATTAGTAACTACAGGGTCAAAGCATTACCTTTCCTCAATCAAAAAGTAGACAACAAATACATTAGATACTAAGAGTGCTGCAGAATTATGACTCATCAAATGAGCCATTTTCACATAAGCAAAAAAAGTCACTTCTCTTCTTCCCCTTCTCACTGATCAAGGCCACACTATTTTCAAATAAATATCTACTGAGAGATCAGTTGTGCATTGGACAAAGTACCATAACAGGGTTAAGAATGAAAACAAATTTACAGTGAATACTTATGTCCATGGCTTACACATACAAGCTTCTCCCTTAATGTCTTACCGCAAGAGTAAGGTAATAAATCTAGTCACTTTTGAATACCCTGTGTAGATCACATTCTACACCTCTGTAAAGCCAGTAAAGGTCACAATTAAGAAAGTGTCCTTAGCAACCATAGTGCCTGAAATGTGCAGCCATATACAGACCACTCAATATGAGGGCTTTACTATAACCAGCCTCTTTTGCCCACAACCTGCATTTTCATAAGGCAGGATATAATTGTTTTGAGAAAATGAAAGCCTGAATCTTTTAAAGACCTGCAATTTACTGCAAAGTGATCAAGAGTTAATGAAGGAAGCAGGTTAAGAATGGTTGCCTGCACCTTGAGCCTCCCAATCATTTTGCAGTAAATAATTTTGGAAAGTGACAAGTAGCCATGTATACATTATAGCTACAGTCATTTATACCACCTACATGCCTCAATTATTTACACAGGGTGTCTGGTTTTTGGTTTGGTTTCACTTTGATTTTTGGTGCCACAGATTTACATTTTGTATTGTGTAGCAGATGTACAGGAGTTTGCTGATCAGAACTGCCACAGTTCTATTTGCTAAAGGGACAATAGAAACCAGAAAGTATTAGGATCAGTTTACAGATTTTTACTCTTTTAATTCTGTGCCTAAAACATAATTTTTCAATAATTCCTGTAATGTAGTTATTTTGAGAAATAAACCTTCCACCAATTATTAGAAGTTTTGGTTCATACTTTCAAAGAATGACTATTTTGAACATGTGATTAACTGGGATGATTGCCAAAGTTTTGAGGGAAAATGCTCTATATCACACTTCACAGCACTAATAGAAACACAAAACAAGATTGCTTTTCATAATTCATACACTACTATTATTTGATTGGATTTAATAAAAACTTTTTACTTCTAATAAACTACTGTTCATGAGCAAATTCTGAAAGATGACCTATTGATAATCTTGTTAACCACACAACATTTTCCAAATATTCAATCTCTGCGCTTTCAGATTTCTAATGTCCCTAGTGCCTGGAATTAGGATATGTGAAATGCTACAATTAATCCACATCCTCTGCAATCTTCCTGCAGTGGGAAGAGGCCATGAACTGTAGGAGAAATAAATCTTCAAGACTGGTAAACACTTAAAAACCCACCACTATGACATTTACCACTTAATCCTACATAGGCAGGTCAAAATTTTAATATAAATTACTTTTTCCAACACATAGCTTATGCATTCTTTGCTCCTTTTTTTGGAGGATTATCAAATTGATACTTAAAGAGTTACATATGATATATTACTGTTATATGATCTAATGACTAAGAAAATTTCTCTGGTAACCAAAGCTGATGCCATATATGGTAGTGTTCTTGGCATATACACTATATGCCTCAGACCACTTCCACATTCTTTCTATCCAGCTAATTATAGCTTAGTAGCCACTAGCAAGGGATTGTGAAGGCCTTGTCATTTCTACAGAATAGAAATAGCAAGGCTCTTTCAATTTACTGCAATTCAGCCAAACAAACAAAAAACACAGAATAAACCAACCCCTTGAAAAGGAGAGGCACTGCACCTTTGCAAAGTTGAACTGGCTCACCATAGCTGAGCAACAGAAACACCACTGAAGCAAGAAAACAAGTGGGTCAGGAATTGTAGAGTCTAAAAATGAGAAAGTTACAGTATAAACTAATAGCTGCAACCTTAATTTTTCAGTGCTGCCTCAAAAGTTTGACACTTTTAAAACTTTGACTGTTTCTGCAAACCCAATATGAACTTCTTAGCTCCTTTACTAAAACTACATAGGGATTTGTTCTCCGTAGCAAAGAAATAACACACTCAAACACATAATACAGCAGGACATTATCGAAAACAGCTGCCTTGTAGTACAAAATACAGTACAAGTATAGGGATGTAATTAAAACATCAAAAATACTATTGCTCCCATACAATTTAGGAAATATTCTTTGCAACGGAGAAAACTTGTTTGTTTTTTTAAAAGAAAAACTTTAAAAAATGTTTAAAAAGTCTACTGTGGATGAATAGAGAAATATTTTGAAATATTTCTGAAGAGGGCACCAATGTTTGTGGCTTGCCTTAGTATCTAAGACTGACAATATTCTGGATCATAGTTTTTTTAAAAAGCCTAATTTTATATACACTATTAGCTCCCCCTCAGCCACAAATGCATGAAAATGACTTTTCTGAATATTACTCTTTCCTAATAAATACAAAGACGTCTAAATGAATACCACCAAAAAGATAAAAGGGTATGTAATAAATTAAAAAGGCAGCTCAAATAAGGGGCAGTCATGCAGTTAAAAAAAAAAAAAGTAAGGAGGTGGGATTACTTGCCTCCTAGATGAGAAGGCTTTGCACACGTACTAATACCTGAAAACTTTGGAAAGAACGTTAGATCCCGTCCAACTTTTACCTAGGTATAGAATATTTCTTGGGTTCTTTTAATACAGTGGGATTAACTTGATTAGTGAAAATCATTTCTGTCAAGTATCCATCTGAAGTATAGGAGGCAATCCTTGAAAAACCCCAGCTTTTATTCTTGAAAGCTGGATTAACTGACAAAAGCCAGTCTGTTGAAATGTCAAGATGGTAAAAAATGCTTTCAGGATATAGCCAGCATATTTCTGTTCACTTCAACTCCATTTAGAGATGGATTTCTGCTTCCATCAGGAATGCTGCTTGGAATAGTTCATCATTTGTCAACTTTTGATTGTGAGGTACTGATACAATGAATCAAGTTTTTAAAATTTTTAAAATAAATGATGGAATTCTGGACCTGAGGCTCTTTAGTACTTGAATGAATCCACAGATTTAACTGAAGACTTCAGTTTTGGTTATTTCCAACTTTTGTTAGCCTATTAAAGCTTGGGCTCGAAGCCACAGTTACTTTTGTAGAAGTCTCAAACTTTTACCATTTAAGATCCAGACAACTAGAGGGTCCAACAGTCAAATTATCCATAATTCTATGGCTCCATAGTGATCTGGCTCTCATTCATACCTGAGCCATTTCTTGGTAAAGACTGCCATTATTTGGAGATCAAAGGAAGAACAGTAGTCAGCAGCAACCAACCCAACTATTCTTGTGCTTTGTGCCTGATTTGTCATGCCTACCTCAGCAACCCCCAATGCTTTTGTCTTCAAAATGTTCTGCCAACTTTTAATCTATTTTAGTGATGTTTTCTATTTTCTAGTTCAAGTATCACTATCTGAATTAATTTTCAACTCTGCAAAGAAAAAGCCTTGGTCCAAGTTCCACCCAAATCTATTTTTTAAAAAATATATTGGTTTTGTATCCTCAATAGTATTTGGAATTATTTTGCCCTGCCCATGATTATTCAAAGTTGTGTTCTTTTTAATAACATCTGTATTCTCGGAACTGGCTAACTGTGAAGGGTTCTCTGTTCTCAGATTCCATGAAGATCTAGAAAAAAAATGCTTTCAATGGAGGTGAAACACTAACAGGTCTGAAGAGATGTTTTGTTCAGACCAGATTACCCCAATACAAAACAATTCAACTGTCATTATCAGTGGCCCTGGGTAACTGATGCTTCTTGACCCATGTGTGAGAGTATCTCCTCCAGGGTTATCTCTGGTTGAGCTTAAACATCTCAGTTGGGGGAAATGCCCCTCCCCCCAATACAGAAGGTGAAGATTATTTTGCCAAGGTGAGAATATCTGTAGATTGCTGTCAGTCCCTTGGAACTGTACTGCTATTTTTGTCTTTAACTACCCTCCCGGTTACTTTTTTAAATTAACTACATTCCCCCCCCCCCCTTTCCCTTTGGGGCCTCCCGTGCTTCTTCCTTCACTATCTCATCGAAGAACAGAAAAAGAGCTCTTCAGACTAAGGGATGATGGTGGGTTGAGGGAGGCCTGCAGGGGAAGCGGTCGGTTTCAATCCTCATCCACCTCCTCACCCTCGGACTCATCTCCACCGCCGCAGCCCCCGCCACGTCTTTCATAAAGCTTATCCCTCTGACGTTCCTGGATTTCTTTCATTTCATCTGCATACCGGCAAAAGGCGCCTCCGAACTTGCCCCAGGCCTTAAAGGGGACGGTGATGGCATTGCGGTAGGAAGGTTTGACTTCACTCACTCGCAGGAACACTCCGTATTTGTTGCAGCCCACGTCGAAAAAAAAGCGCTTAGAGTCCACGGTGATGGAGGTGCCTTCCGGGAGCTCCCCATACAGGCCCCCTGGGTGCCCCCCGCCGCCTCCTGGGCCCCCCGCCAACTCCTCCTCCTCGCCTCCGTAGTCGTCGATAAGCTTGGCCAGCGCATCGCGGAACTCGATGAGGCCCTGGGCGGGCAGGGCGATGGTCTGGCCGCTCTGCAAGCCTCCGGGGCCGGGGCCCCCGCCGAACCCGCCGCTGCTGCCGATGCGGTTGATGGTCTGGCGGATGCGCAGGAAGCGGCCCCGCTGGTTCTCCTTGAGGTCCAAGTAATACTTGCGGTTCTCTCGCACCAGGAATTCGCTCTTGAGCGCCCGTCGGGGCCCGCCAGCGTCCTCCGCACTGGCCGCCGCCGCGATTTGCTCGGGGCTGCTGGGACCTAGCTGCGCGTAGTGCTCGATGAAGTCCCCCAGGTAGTCTCGGAACTCGGCTGCCACGGCCATGGAAAGGGTGAGACGGCTCTTGGAGCCTCCAGCGCCCACCTCAGCAATCTTGAGGAAGCGACCTTTGGCATTCTGCTTCACATCCAAGTAAAAACGCTTGTTCTGGATGTCGAGGCGCTTTGATGCCAGCTCCTGGGTTTCTTGCTCGCCGCCACCACGGGACACAGGCTGAAAGCCACAGCTGCTGGGACCGCCGCTACCGCCTCTCTCGCTGCCGCTGTCACCGTCCGCCATCTTCTCTCGCTCTGCCTCCGCTGCCGAGCCTCAGCAGCTGCGGGCTCAATGCTTTCCCGCCGCCACTGTCGCCCGGCGCGCTCGCGACCCCCTCCCTCCGCCCCTGCGGCTCGTTCTCCGCGTCCCCCCAGCCTTCCTCTCTCCCTGGCTCGCTCACGCGCACCAGCTTCTCATCGCGAGCCACCACCACCACCGCCGCCGCCGCAGCCCCCCATCTCTTCTTCTTCCCCCGCCCCCGCACTCCCGTGCGCAACCTCGGCTGCTGCTTCCGGCGCGGCGACCTTCTTTCTACGTCACCCCGCCTCGCCCTCTCCACGTTCTGGAGAACAGAAGCAGCTGGACGCATAGGAGTGACGTCACGGGTGGAGAACCTCCAGGGTCGGCCGCGCCTCCTGTTGGATGGGGCAGCTAGCTGGGAGGCTAAGCTTTCCAGTGGTCGTATCCAAAATTGACATTTAAAACGTAATTTCAGAAAGGGGAAAACCTCAAAACCTTATTGTGATTTGCATCCCCACTGCCTAGTGTCTCCATACTTCCTAATATCTCAAATACAATTTCACTTTGCAATCTAATTTTGCCATTCTCTCCACACATTTCCTGTGCAGTCATCAAACATGTTTCTTTGCCCATCCTCTTCAGCTCACGCACTTATTTTGCTAGAAATGCAACGCACAGACAGTAGTAAATGTAAGAGGCTAGCGAAAGGGTCGTTGGGAGCATCCAGAAGAGGTTTCTAACCAGAATCAGGGAATGTTTTTTCCTTTAGGAGACAAGTTTAATTTAGACGCTTAAGAAAATAGCATTCCAAGTGGAGGGAAGACCTTGTATCTCGGTCACCAGCGACTTGACAACTGGAGTTTTACCATACAGAATAGTTGGCGATTGATGGATCAAGGAAAGCAATCTATTACATTACAGTCCAGAATCATCAAATTGAAATTGTGAAAAGATCACTGGAGACAGTGTGAAAATTTGAAAAGGTCTCAGAGACAGGCTTTTGTTGTTTTTACACTTAGTGATTGTTCTTATGTTGCCTGTGACCCATAGCAACCAGCAGCTCTAAACCCTGCCCTGCCCTGCCCCGAGCCGCCAGTCTCGCTAATTCTGACATACCAACAACCCCCATTGCCCCAGTTACTGTATTCATTTCTTCCAGGGTCTTCCTCTCCTGCACTGTCCCTCCCACCTTCAGAGCATGATGTCCTTCTCCAAGGACCAATCTCTCCTGGCCACGTGCCCAGAGTATGTGAGATGGAGCTTCAAAATCCTAGCCTCCAAGGGCAAACTTGGCTTCGCCCTCTCAAGACAGAGCTATTTGTTTTCTTTCTTTTTAAAATTTTTAAAAATTAGTTATAATGAACATTTAGGTTTCCATTCATTCATTGTTCCAATTTCCCCCCTGTTCACCCTACCACCCCAATTCGCTCTTCTCTTTGAAAGGTAAAAGAAAAATTCTTCATTGTTATACAATCGCTTGCCCCAAGTCCACTCCACTATGCAACCTTCATTCTGGACTCCTGTCATGACAATAATACCTAATCATATATCTCTTTTAAACAGTTATCTCCCTCATCTATTTCAATGAAGTATATATTATTTATCCCCTCATTTTTGTCTCCCCACAACCCCGATGTCAGTCCTGTTTGACAGCAGTGGCACTGTACAATATTTGTCCTTTTGTGACTGAGATATTTCACTAAGGATAATATCCCCCAGGGTCACCCATTTTGTATAGTATTTCATGAGTTCCTTGTTTTCCAATGCTGCATGGTATTCCATTGTGTGAATATTCCAGAGCTTCTCTATCCACTCATTGGTTGATGGGCACGTGGGTTGTTTCCAACTCTTTGCTACAAAGCCCAATAAGCATGGGTGTACATAAATCTGCGTGGGTGTTGGTAGTGGTTTCTTTAGGGTCTATTCCTAGTGGAATTACTGGATCAAATGGTGTCTCTATTTGCAACTTTTTGAAAAAGCACCATAGTGCACCATAGCCCTCCATAGTGATTGCACCATTTTATACTCCCACCAACAGTGAATAGGTGGTCCAGTTTCCTCGCAATCTCACCAGCATTTGATGTTTGCTGTTCAGTTGAATTTTGCTATTGTTACTGGGGTGAGATGATATCTCATAGTTGTTTTGATTTGCATCTCTCTTAGAGCTAGGGGTTTTGAACATTTCTTTTTTTTTTTTCTTTTTTTTTATTTTTTTATTTTCTTGGCTGAACATTTCTTCATGTGTTTGTTCACCATCTGAATATCTTCTTTGGTAAAGTGTCTGTTCATATCCTGTGCCCATTGTGCCCATTTTGCAAATGGGTTGTTTACCTTTGTCTTATTGTGGTGCTGGAGTATCTGATAAATTCTAAATATAAACCCCTTATCTGACATGTCATTACCAAATATTTTTCCCCCCAGTGTGTGGCTTCCCTTTTCGTCCTGCTGGAGAAATTTTTGGATGGGCACAGGGATTTGATTCTTAGAAGGTCCCATTAATCTATTTTATCCTCTCCTGGTTGTAGATTTTTCAGGATGCTTGGAAGACTGTTTATGTTGTGGATTAGGACTTCTGGATTTCTTCCAAGCTTTTCTTTAATGAAGTTAATAGTTCTTGGGTTTAGTTCTAGGTCCTTCATCCACTTTGAGTTGGTTTTTGTGTATGTAGTGGGTTGTGGATCTTGCTTGAGTTTTCTACAGATAGTTTTCCAATTTTGCCAGCACCATTTTTTGAAAAAGGCTGTCATTTCCCCACTTAACTAATTGCATCTCTTTATAAAAAATCAGTTGACCATAGGTAGACGGGCTAATTTCTGGGAAATTCTATTCCATTGATCTATGTGTCTGTCATTGTACCAGTACCATGCTGTCTTGACCACCACAGCAGTATAGTAGGATTTGAAATCAGAGCGTGAGATGCCTCCTGCCTTGTTTCTCTTTTTAAGGAGTGCTTTCCTTTGGGGCCTTTTCCTTTGGTGCCTCTTTCCATTCCAAATAAAATTGGAAATTGCCTTTTCCATCTCATTAAGAATGAAATTGGTATTTGTATTGGGATTGCATTGAATGTGTAAATTGCCTTTGGAAGTACTGTCATTTTTACAGTATTGAGTCTTCCTGTCCATGAACAAGGGATATTCTTCCACTTCTCCAGATCTCTTTTTGTTTCTTGTAGTAATGTTTTGTCATTTTCTTTGAATAGATCCTTTGTGCTCCTGGTTAGATTTACTCCCAAGTATTGAATCTTGTGATTAGCTATTGTAAACGGAATTGTTTTTCTTAGCTCCAGTTCTGTATTCTCTTTGTCACTGTAGAGAAATCCAATTAATTTTTATATGTTGATCTTGCATCCTGCCACTTTGCTGAATTAGTCAACTATGTCCAGCAGTTTTTTAGCTGAGTGTCTAGGGTTTTCTAAGTGTACTATCATATCATCTGCATGTTGTTGTTGTTGTTATGTGCCATCGAGTCATTTGTGACTCATAGCGATCCTATGTACAACAGCCCTAAACCCTGCTCTATCCTGTGCCAATTGCATTGCCTCTGACACACCTATCCTGATTACCCCAGTCACTGAATCAATCCCCCTCATAGAGGGTCTTCCCCTCCTGCGCTGTCCCTCCACCCTACCAAGCATGACCTGTCTCTCCTTAAAACATGTCCAAAGTATGTCAGACGAAGCCCCAGAATAGAGAGATAATTTTACCTCCTCTTTGCCAAACTGGATACCTCTTATTTCCTTCTCATGTCTTACTGCAATTGCTAAGATTTCCAATACAATATTGAATAGGATAGGTGATAATGGACATCCATGCCTAGTTACTGTTCTTGAGGGGAATGCCTTTAATCTCTCTCCATTGACAACAATATTGCCTCTCCGGTTTGCATATGTACTTTTCACTATGTTGAAAAATTCCCCTCTAATCCTATTTTGTTGAGTGTTTTAATCAGGAAAGGGTTTTGTCAAAGGCCTTTTCTGCATCAATTGACAAGATCATGAGGTTCCTCTTTTTTCCTTTGTTAATGGGATTAATTACACTGATTGTTTTTCTTATGTAAAACCCTCCTTGCATACCTGTTACAAATCCCCTTAGTCAGGGTGGATTCTATTGGCCAAGATTTTATTCAGGATTTTTTGCATCATTGCTCATGAGATATTGGTATATAATTTTCTATTTTGGTGGTGTCTTATCTAACTTTGGTATCAAGGATATTTTTGTTTCATAGAATGAGTCTGTGAGAATTCCATCTTTTTCTATTTTATGTAGAATTGCCGACAGATTTCTTTGAGTGTTTGATAAAATTCTCTAGTAAAACCATCTGGTCCAGGAGGGTTTTTTTGGCTGGAAGTTTTTTTTTATATAACCTTTTCAATTTCTTCTTTTGTAATGGGTCTGTTCAGGTGTTCAGTTTTGACTGGTGTCAGTTTAGGTAGGCTGTGGATTTCTAAGCATTTGTCCATTTCCTCTGTTGTTGTTGTTGTTATGTGCCGTCGAGTCGCCTGCGACTCATAGCGACCCTATGTACAACAGCCCTAAACTCCGCTCTGTCCTGTGCCAATCGCACTGTCTCTGACACTCCCATTCCAATTATCCCAGTCACTGAATCAATCCACCTCATAGAGGGCCTTCCTCTCCTGCGCCGTCCCTCCACCCTCCCAAGCATGATGTCCCTCTCCAAGGACTGGTCTCTCCTCACTACATGTCCAAAGTAAGTTAGATGGAGCCTCAGAATCCTTGCCTCCAAGGAGCCACCCGGTTTAACCCTCTCCAGGACAAATCTATTTGTTTTCCTAGCAGTCCATGGTATTCTCAGTACTCTTCTCCAGCACCACAGCTCAAAGGCATCAGTTCTCCTTCTCTAGGTTTTCATATTTATTTGAGTATAATTTTTCATAATATTCCAATGTTTGACTTTTTATTTTAGTTGGTTCTGCTGTGACGTTGCCCATTTCATCTCTTATTCAGATTATTTGTGTCTTTTCTTTTGTTAGGTTTGCTAGTGGT